AGATGCATGATGAGAAAACATCAGCCCAAAAAAAAATTTGTCTTCAGCCGATATTTGATACAAATTGGGCCTCGCTACTCAAAATAATGTGTGGACTTAAAGTGTTTAAGAGTCCCGTTTCTCGCAACAAAAATTTAAAGCAAAAAAAGAGCAAATAAATAAATATATATATAAAAAATAAGTATAAAAAAGGAAAAAAAAAATTATATTTAGTCTCGGCATCATCTGATAAAAAGAAAATAAAATTATTAGTAAGTATAAATTTGTCAAAATGGCAAAACTTTAAAGAAAGGTTGTATTTGCCATAAAGGTTTCTATAAGAAAATAATTTAGCAAAGCAAAAAAAAAAAACTAATAATTAAACTTCAATAACGAGTATAATACCTATGGAATCCCTCTGATCACGAATTCGTTTGGTCTTTACGGACTCATGGTCATGTTCGTCTATATACGTATATATGGTATTAAAAATATACTGTTAAAATTTTATTAAAATAAAATAAAATTCTTTATATTTATATGGTAATTTCCAAAACCTCTTGCAGCATTATCCGGATATTTGAATACTTTGGGAAGTGCGAAATCGAGTGAGTCATGAATGAGATCGTGATTTTTGGGGAGAAGATCGAGTTGGTTCGTTTTGATTTAAATCAATATTAATTTATTGAGAAAGAACTTGTTACTGTTATTTTGAGTTCATCTAAAAACAATGTAAAGTTTAACGGTTGGGAAAATTTTCAAGCAAAAACGAACAACTTTTAGTAAATACGTACTGGTGTATGTAATTACGAATTTTTTTTAAGCAACCATATTTGCACGTAAAAGCAACACATGCCTGCCATTCCCTCAATGTCACACTTGCGGTTGAAGAGAATCTGATGACAACTGTCATTTGTTTTATAGGAGCATCCAATATACCAGGATTTTTCGTGATATTCCTCTCCAGATAACTTATGTCCATAACCCACTAACTTTCCATTTATAAGATGGATATATAATTTGATATTAAAAATTAAAAGTTTCTATTGAAGATTTTTTTATCCCACTTTCTTTTCTCTCGATAAAAGGAAGTGAATATATGAGTTGCTGGAATGTTATATAGCAGTTTATAAATAATGAAAATAAAATAAAATGATTTTTTTTTTTTTGTTTTTTTGCCTCCTGAATATTCACCAGTAAAAGTTGATTTGTATTTATATTGAAATCTTTATTATTATTTTGCATTAAAAGTAAAGCAATAATTTATTTCATTGAAGTTGAGAATCCATTATGAATCAAAAATTAAAGTGTATGAATCAATGGAATTCCTTGATTATTTTACTGTAATAATAACTCTCTGTCTACCAATTTAGGTAAAATGAATTTTTGCATATTTTAGGCAAGATCACGGAAACTTAGCCGTTGGCAAAAAAATATCAGTGCATAAAAATCAGCATGATACTAATAGGCTGACCAATAAAAGGAATTACAGTGGAAGGAGAAGGTAAGAAGATAAAGAAAACATTTAACCCAAATTAATTACTTGCCAAAGTCATAAACATCATTGTTGGGAACGTAAAGTTGATTTTGTAAAAAAATTATAGCAAAATTAATTGATTAATATGCTACGTTCAAGTTATATTAACTGTATGGATTTTATTAATGTCAGCGTTTTCAAAACAAAAATTTAATTTATTAAAACAAATAATGCGATTAAAAAATAAAAAAAAAAGCTTAAAATGTCTAAATTCTAGAAATTCAAAATTTTTGTTATTTTATAAACATTTTATTTATCAACATCTATTGTCCTCCTAAATTATCCGTCCAGACTTCTCATCCAATAAACCCGTCCCAAAATTAATACCGCATTCAACTCGACCTCGATCGATCCGTCAACAAATTCTTCTACGGTGGCCTTACTAGAATGAATTGTTAAAAGTAAATTCAACTAAATTTGGTTTTTATTAAAAAGAATGTTCTTTGATTAACTTACGTTCTTACGCTCTTCTCCTAAAATTTTAATAAGCTTTGTGAACTTCTGCTTGTGTAGGATTCAATTCCAAAATCTTCTTGCGAAGTTGCGTCGTTATTAACATTGTTATGATGATCCTTAAAAAATAATTAAAAAAAACTTACCATCTAAATTAGAAATCTCTATCAAACTAGCCTTTGGTTTTTATTGCTTGGAAAAAAATTCTGTATGAATATTGAAAAATAAAAAAAAAAAGTTAGTCAACGAGAAAAAGTATATATATATATATAAAAAAAACCTCATCCAAACTATTTTAAGTTTTTGTTCTAAACTATTTAGACTAAATTAAATTTGAACTAAGCTAATGTTTGTTAATTATTGCGAAGAATAAGCGAAAATATGAACTAGAACCGCGGAACTGAGGAAAAAAACTGATTTAAACTCCTAAGAGTGATATGGGGAAGGGGAGTTCCAAGCTCCCAGTCACCCCATTCCGGGGGACACCCAGGTGGCCCGCTAATTGCCTAACCACTCCGAAGAATGGGTTACTAGCGGCGGAAGACGAACACAACGTGGGGCGGGAGGATTTCTGTTCATATTAAAATTAAGAATAATGTCGTTCCGCTCTAAAAGAGTTGCCGACACTTATATCTTAATTTATGTGTATTTATCTAACTACTAGCAGGGATTTTTTTTCTTTTCTTCGGGTGGTAATAGCGTGAGAAAATTTTTTTTGATGGAAAAGGAATTATTGGATATATATATTAATCTTCGTTTCACAAAATTGGTGTCGATCTTGTAAAAATTTTTTCATTCACGTGCGCGACGTTATGATGATGCATTGATGTAGACCTTCATTGAATTTATAATATTTTATATTATTAGTAAAAATTTGTTTGAATAAAATTTATCTCAAATAATGGCAAAAAAAAAAAGTTCTTATGATTTATATTTTTATTTTATAAATTTATTATTTTATTAAAAAAACTAGGTAACGGGAACCGTTGGAGCGTCCGAAGCGTTAAATTAGTTGATCAACCATTTTAGTCATTGAACGTAAAATTTCAATACATTAAATCACTTGATATGGCAGTTGCGCGCTATAATTTTATATTTACAAACACATAAAGTTTCACTAAGAGAAATTCAATACATCATTCTCACGAAATGTCCTAATTTTATAGGGAATTTAAATGTTTAAATATAACCTTTATACAAAATTAGATAGTGCTCAAGGAATTTCATTTCTTAAAGTTTCGTATATCATAACGTTAAATTGGCTAGTAACAAATTACGCTCAACGTGACAAATACCGTATTATTTTATAAATTTAATTATGCGAACATAATATAATGACATACATTACCTTAATTTTAATTATCGTCATATCTTCAAGTTTCAAAAACTATTGCGCAATTAACTATACTAGTTCTCTACAAAGGAATTCGAAAAGAAATAAAAACATATTCTCATTATTAAATGTAAAAAAAGAAATATGTATATAACAGCGATCCATACCATATGAATCTTTTTTTGTACCATGATACTCAGTAACCCCTTTTTTTTTTAAAAAAAAAAAAAAAAAAAAAGAATCGTAAAAAAAAATTTCACGAGCGTAAAATCAAATTATGTTGTCCAAAGTATCATTGGAAAGTTTTTAAACTGTAAGTAAAATGTTTATCAGAATAATAAAAGTATTTTTGTATATAACGCATAAATTAATAGCCTTTTTTAATACGCCGAAAGATTCCAACTAGCTTAAGAAAAATTATAGTCAATGAAATTATTATAATTAACACGTTCAAAATATACTGTATGGAAGCTTTGGAATAAATCAGATTATGGGCGTACCTTGGTACTAAGAACGTAAATTACAGTAATCATTTGGTTCACGAAGACGACTTTAACCAATAACGATTGAATTGTTATGAAATAAATCCAAATTGGAAGCTCAATTATAGAATCATGGCAAATTATTCTTGAAAATAATATTAAAGATCTTTTAAGGATTCTTGAAAAGTGATTGTTGATATAAAATCTAAAAAAAGCCGGAAAATATTTTTGAATTGTTGAGAATTTTTGTCGATTCAATATCAAACTGGGGCGGAAGAATTTATTTTAAATATTAAAGAATATTAACAAGCATTTTACGGATTGACGGATGATGTGGTTATGATCCAAATATTAATATCAAGAGGTTACTATCGTACTACTATAGAATTTATCGAAGGCTTCGAAAGTGAAATAGCATGGGTTAAGTCTTTAGAAAAAATATGACTATTAAGAATTTCGAAATTCTTTTAGTTGCTTTCACCTTTTATTCAATGATTTACAGCTAATGTTTGGATCATTATTAATTACAGGTAACTTCGCTATTAAAAACATAATCTTTAGAATTGAAGCAAATAATTTATTGCTTTACAACATTTCTTAGATCTGGACTCATCGTCACGAATGGATGATAGTTCGCGCAAAATCCGAAAACTTTCTTGAATTAAACGTAGATATTTTTAATTGAAAAAAGATTACATGGGCCGTTTTCAGTAAAATCCAGTAAAGAGATATAGATCCATAATGTGATTTGACTGGCAACGTTCCGATTTAGTTTTGTAGGTATTAGTAATATGTATGTTAATTTATTTTTTGTAAATTTTATATATGTACATGTATAATCATTTATTCTTTTAAATTTTTTAGTCTATATTCAATTGTTGACATTCATCATACTGTTACGTATTAGCTATCAAAAAAAAAAACTTGTTTCTTAACGATCGTTTGTCGAAACCTGAATAGACAAAGAAAAATTTTGGAACAATTTTTTACTACTAGTTCAAAAATCATTGTCAGCGTATATAGCTCAGTTGTTATATGAGATACGAATTAGTTGATTTCGGAGGGGAATGGGCTGATAAATGTAACAAGAGAGTTATGTGGGCTAGCAAACAAGTGAAAAAGAACGAGTTGACAAAGAAATTATTGAGGTTGCAAGAATTTCATCATGATCTTCAAAGACCAACTCGAACCAAATTTAAAAAGCGTTAGAAGTCACCTAAAACGAGTATGATATTAACCAAATACTGAGGTCAAATGGTGCTACTAAAGAAATCGTTACTTCAAATTAAAGGAGAATTAAATATGATGAAATTCCACTTCTTTTACCTTGGTAAAGGACTTTATCTTTAAACGAGAGACCATTAATCTCTTGGAAACAATCTATTGCAACTATTGAAGTATAGTTTATATTAGAAATCGATGATATTGATCTTGAGAATAAATTATATGATACTTGTGAAAAATTACTGCTGAGTTCCATATTGGAAATCTAGAATTATGGAAAACATAATATGATTTAAGGTAACAAGAAAAAATTTTTATTATCTCTTTTTTCTTTAGTATTTTATTTTGACGTGTTTCGATTTTCAATTTTTATCAGGTCATTATTACACGTCAATTGTTCAATGTTCGTATAATTAATAGGGGCAGTGACTCAGAGTCGGTCTTGGAACCGATTCTAAATTTAGCATATCTTGAGTTACAAAACATTTTTAACAATTTTAAAAATCAAACCAGAACTATCTCCAGACAGAGTCAGCTCCAAAATCGTTCGTCATCAAATTAAGGTAGTTATAGACCGAAATTTGTTTGATAACCACAAAAAAAGTTTTAAATTGATCATCATGTTCTATTTGTATAAATTTAACTTAACGTTGAAAGTTTTAATTTACTTTAGGAGAGCGGAAGCAGAACCGAAGAGGAACCGAAAATGAATCGAGAGAACCTTTAATGAAATTTATATAACACTGCTGTTTCGCTAACTATCTGAAGCAAACAACTTAATAATATCGGATTAGAAGAACTCTTAAATGTGACCAACGAATCAGGAGGCAAACAGAAAAGTGGTTCACAACGAAAAATGAACCGCTCTTGTTCATATATTATTTGATAACAAAAAAAAAAGCAAATATTTTATTCCGAGTGTCAAGACAATTGCAATTCCAATAATTTCGGTAAAATATTTATTATTTTTATCCATCCGAAGGGGATGGGGGTTGTCAAAGATGATCCAATCATCATCTACTCAAAACAAAAAACTATTACTCAGACTAGAGGCCTTAGGCCGGCGCAAGACACTTATTTTCGGCTTATGCACGCTGTTAGTGATAATCCGTTTGCGTCACTAGATGACTGCGCCAACTAATGTCACCAATGATCACCAGAAAAATCGTGATCATCATTTTCACTAATTTCACTGCTATCACGGTTATCGTTGTGATATTTATTTTCTTTATTATTACATTTATCATTATTTTATTTACTATATTTATTTTCATGGTTATATTTATTATCTCTATCTTATGATTGTATTTTATATAAACAACCGAGATTAAACATCATATTTATACTAGAACGGCTATGCCAATTGCTCAAAAACTATATTGAACGAACCCTGAAAATACCAGATTCTTGAATCAATAACTAAAGAAAATGGAAGAGAATGGTATAATTCGACCCTCCTATAGTCCATAGGCCTTACCAGTCGTAATTGTAGGAAAGAAAGGAGGTGAAAAAAGATTATGTGTCAATTATCAAAAAGTCAATGCTGTCATAAAAATTGATGCATATCCATTACCAAGAATTGACGACTTATTGGATTCACTAGATGGAGCAAATTGGTTCACTACTCTCAACTTAGCTAGTGATTATTGGCAAGTAGCAATGCATCCTGATAATATTGAGAAGACTGCTTTTATCATAGCAAATGGATTGTATGAATTCTTAGTCATGCCCTTTGGTTTAAACAATACACCTGGAATATTTCAAAGGCTTATGAATTGGATTCTTAAAGATTTTCTTAGATTATTTGTATCAGTCTATCTCGATGATATAATCATCTATACGAAAGGACCTTTTGAATTACATGTTGATCACGTTAAACAAGTATTTCAAGCTTTTAGAGACGCTCATCTTGCGATAAAATTAAAGAAGTATTACTTCTATCAATCTTCCTTAACATTCTTAGGATATATCATAAAACAAGGAGGAATTCAACCTGATCCAGAGAAAATCAAGAAGATTAAAGAATTTCCAGAACCAAAAAGCCTAACTCAATTATGTGCTGCATTAGGATTATTTGGTTATTATCAGAAATTTATTAAAGATTTCACATAACATGCCAAACTATTGACCTTATTATTAAAGAAATATCAGCCCTTTGAATGGAAAGAAAAACAATAATATGCCTTCGACTGACTAAAGGAAAGGCTTATTAAGGCACTAATTTTGCAATATCCAGATTTCGAAATATCTTTTACCTTATATACTAACGCTTCAAAGAAAGAATTAGGTGCTGTACTATCCCAAAAGAAGGATGGAAAGGAATATATTATTGCATATATTAGTAGATCAACCAACAAAACTGAGGAAAATTATCCAAAACTGATTTAGAGTGTTTAGCAATCATCTGGTCAATTAAGCATTTTCATCATTATCTTAGTCGATCATTCACTATTGTAACTGATCATGCTGCTTTAAAATGGTTGAAAACTTCAAAGATGTCAAAAGGAAGACATGCTAGATAGATCATGGAATTGTAACAATATCATTTCACCATAGAACATAGAGCAGAAAAACATAATGCAAATGCTGACGCATTATCTCAAATGTATGATGAGAAAACTGCTGAATGTTTTATTATTGATCTTACCAAAACAGATATGGCTAATGATGAGGATGAAAACATTAATGTGAAAAAAGATATAGAATAGCATATTTCTTCTTCTGAATCTGAAGAAAGCGACGAATAGTTTAAAGAGGAATTGTCTTGACAATATTTTAATACTGTCTTAATTATTGCCATTGAATATAAATCTTCTAATGATGAATTAAAAGAAATCTACTGTGAAAATATAAAGATTAAACCAGTAATCGCTGGACAACCTATTACTAGAGGAGGATCACAATACACTTTTTTATATGATACTGAGAACTATCAATTTTACATATATTGTAAAGCATGCAAGAAAAATTTATTATATGGAACTATCATACATAACTGTATCATTGGATATGATTTAAGAAAAATCCAATCAGACATGAAACCAGAATATTTAACTAATGACCTCTGGTGGAAAGAACCTCTCTTAGTACAACAGAAAAACCTTCATGCACAATTACGCTTTCATCTTGGTAGCATTGATAATGCATCCTTTTCCCTCTCTTATTAAATCAACCACTAATATAATATACAAAGAATTAAGTGAAAGCGAAAGTGTTTACAGTGTGATAAACAGCTTAAATTCTAAACTATAGAAGAATAACAATATAATCAACTATTTAATTATTTAATCAGCCAAATATATCCCATCATCTTTAATCAAACACAACAACACAAATTAACTGTACTATCAAAACATTATATTATTAAACATAATTTACTATACAAAATTAACAAAAATAATTCAAGCAACCCAATTAGAGTACTCAAAAAAGTAGAACTAAAACCTGCACTTTACATGTTTTACAATGATCCAACTGCCGCTTATAGTTCAAAAGAAAAGATGATGAAGAAAATTAGAAAACATTTTTATTGGCCTCAAATGTTTGAAGATATCAAGAACTATATGTAATTATGTGACTCTTGTCAGAAGAGAGGAAGAGCTTTAAGGATAGAACTTCTACATCCTATACCTATCAGACAACCTTTTCATCATATTGGAATAGATTACATTAGACCTTTATCAGTTTCAAGTAAAGGAAACAAATACATAATCATTGCCATGGATTATCTAACCAAATGGCCAGAAGCTAAACCTATAAGACAAAATGATGCTAAAACAACCGTACAATTTGTGTATAAAGATATAATTTGTAAATACAGATATTCTGAAGAAATACTTACCGATCATTATATACATTTTAACAATTAACTGTTACATGAATTACTACAGAAATTTGAAATATCTTATAGAATGTTGACGCTATATTATTCACAGACCAATAGATTAGTTGAAAGGTTTAACAGAACTTTAATAGAAGCCCTTGCACAAATTGCTACTAATCATCAGAAAGATTGGGATCATTTTATTGCCCCTGCACTTTTTGCTTATCGTACAAATGAACATTCTTTTACAAAAATATCACCCTTTTTTCTTGTGTATGAATGAAAAGCTAAATTACCAATAAATAGTATAGAAATAGAGGAGGAATTCCTCTTACTCAATCATGTGGAAAAACAATTAAATCAGCTGCCAATTATTCATAATATTATTTAACAAAATTTGCAAAAAAAACAACAAAAACAGAAAGATCGACATGATGAAAAATTAAAGAAAATTGTGTCATATCAAATAGGCAATTAAGTTTTGTATTACAAAACAAATGTTAGATAAGCAGTGGTCAGGAAAATTAGACTCAAAATGGAAGGAACCGTATTATATACACGATATAATTAAAAATGGAGTTTACAAGAATAGGGAATTAAACGGGAAAGTCCTAAAAACCTCTGTAAATGAAAGTTTATTAAAAATCTATATAAATAAAGTAGATATTGATTGAACTTCACCCTTTCCTCAAATTTAAAATGGAATTATATAATCAAATTTTAGCAGACTTACAACAAACTGAACTACTTTATCTGGATATTCTATCTCCTTTTTATCAACACAATGATACCATTTTACAACAAGTGAAATCTCTACTTTGATAACTTAGAAGAGCAAAAAGCTTAAGAAATTGAGTCGAAATACTAATAGTCCTCTGGCATATGGAAAAGGCTATTGAAACTAAAACTGAATCACTAACTGAAAGAACTCAATATATGAACCTTCTCTCACTATACTACTGAAAAGTAGTTATACAAGTATATTACCTATATGAATTAATTGGAATAGACCAAATTGCTCGAACTAAGCATACAACTATAAGAATGCTCTCTCGCATTAATTGTGAATAACATCAACAGCTCGTATAGGAAGCTAGTACTATTGCAGGAGCCCAGATATTGGAGGAGAAAGTTATTAGTGATAATCTATTTGCATCACTAGATGATTGCATCAACTAATGTCACTAATGATCATCAGGAAAATCGTGATCATCATTTTCACTAATTTCACTGCTATCACAGTTATTGTTGTGATATTTATTTTCTTTATTATTATATTTATCATTATTTTATTTACTATAT